ATATATATACAGTCAGGTCCATAAATATTGGGACATCGATACAATTCTAACATTTTTGGCTCTAAACACTACCACAATGGATTTGAAATGAAACGAACAAGATGAGCTTTAACTGCAGACTGTCAGCTTTAATTTGAGGGTATTTACATCCAAATCAGGTGAACGGTGTAGGAATTACAACAGTTTGCATATGTGCCTCCCACTTATTAAGGAACCAAAAGTAATGGGACAGAATAATAATCATAAATCAAACATTCACTTTTTAATACTTGGTTGCAAATCCTTTGCAGTCAATTACAGCCTGAAGTGTGGAACGCATAGACATCACCAGACGCTGGGTTTCATCCCTGGTGATGCTCTGCCAGGCCTCTACTGCAACTGTCTTCAGTTCCTGCTTGTTCTTGGGGCATTTTCCCTTCAGTTTTGTCTTCAGCAAGTGAAATGCATGCTCAATCGGATTCAGGTCAGGTGATTGACTTGGCCATTGCAGAACATTCCACTTCTTTCCCTTAAAAAACTCTTTGGTTGCTTTTGCAGTATGCTTTGGGTCATTGTCCATCTGCACTGTGAAGCGGCGTCCAATGAGTTCTGAAGCATTTGGCTGAATATGAGCAGATAATATTCCCGAAACACTTCAGAATTCATCCTGCTGCTTTTGTCAGCAGTCACATCATCAATAAATACAAGAGAAGCAGTTCCATTGGCAGCCATACATGCCCACACCATGACACTACCACCACCATGCTTCACTGATGAGGTGGTATGCTTAGGATCATGAGCAGTTCCTTTCCTTCTCCATACTCTTCTCTTCCCATCACTCTGGTACAAGTTGATCTTGGTCTCATCTGTCCATAGGATGTTGTTCCAGAACTGTGAAGGCTTTTTTAGATGTCGTTTGGCAAACTCTAATCTGGCCTTCCTGTTTTTGAGGCTCACCAATGGTTTCCATCTTGTGGTGAACCCTCTGTATTCACTCTGGTGAAGTCTTCTCTTGATTGTTGACTTTGACACACATACACCTACCTCCTGGAGAGTGTTCTTGATCTGGCCAACTGTTGTGAAGGGTGTTTTCTTCACCAGGGAAAGAATTCTTCGGTCTTCCACCACAGTTGTTTTCTGTGGTCTTCCGGGTCTTTTGGTGTTGCTGAGCTCACCGGTGCGTTCCTTCTTTTTAAGAATGTTCCAAACAGTTGTTTTGGCCACGCCTAATGTTTTTGCTATCTCTCTGATGGGTTTGTTTTGTTTTTTTTCAGCCTAATGATGGCTTGCTTCACTGATAGTGACAGCTCTTTGGATCTCATCTTGAGAGTTGACAGCAACAGATTCCAAATGCAAATAGCACACTTGAAATGAACTCTGGACCTTTTATCTGCTCATTGTAATTGGGATAATGAGGAAAAAACACACCTGGCCATGGAACGGCTGAGAAGCCAATTGTCCCATTACTTTTGGTCCCTTAATAAGTGGGAGGCACATATGCAAACTGTTGTAATTCCTACAACCGTTCACCTGATTTGAATGTAAATACCCTCAAATTAAAGCTGACAGTCTGCAGTTATAGCACATCTTGTTTGTTTCATTTCAAATCCATTGTGTGGTGTATAGAGCCAAAAATATTAGAATTGTGTTGATGTCCCAATATTTATGGACCTGACTGTATAATCCAAGGGGTGTGACCACATGTTAACACTAAAAATTCTGAATGAACCCTCTGCACATTGCTATACACCTTTTCTAACAAACTTTGCACAAAGACAGAGATTTTTAGTTCACAGACATTGCAAAACATGTTTAAAGCTGAACTTCATCCGAAAGGGGAAGTTCCACTTTTCCTCCTCCTCTTTCTCCCCCCTCCTATATTTGTAATTTATTTTTCTTGGGGGGGGGGGGAGAAACGGGTACCTGATTTTGAAAGGTACACGCTCCCACTTCCAGTCAGATCGCAGCAGCGATCATAACGGAAGTTCACCCCTCCCCTGTCCTTTCCCTGCAGTCTCTTGGGACACATCACAGGTCCCAGGCTATGAAGCCGCAAGGAGTCAGTCGGCTGCCCACACTTAAGATGCTGACGCCTGGACCTGAGGACCTTCAAAGAGTTGGGTCAGGTGAAGACATAGCTGGATCCTGGGGCAGGTAAGTGTGTGTGTGTGTTTTTTTCTTAAGTCCGAAGCTTCAGTATTGGTAGCTGCTGACTATTACATTTTTGTTTACAGGATGAAGATCCTCTTTAAACTAGTCAACTGTGCAGTTAGCAGTCCTGAACCTTGTCGCTCCCCTCCAACTTGTCTTTTTGCCCCCTATTGGCACTATATCCACTGGACCATTGCATTTTGCAGAGCAGAGTAGGGACTGACCAGGAGTGATTACTTGGTGCAGTGGACTGGCTTAAACATGTATTGCAATATACAGCATGTGAAAAACTATTTTTATACTATCCTCAATATCATTTATGAACAAGTCAAACTGAATTGGTCAGAGCGTATTTTCTGAATGGTCTGGAGTTGTAAGTGGAGGCTGTTTATCATCACCCTCTGGAGGTTGTCCTGCAATTAGTTTTCTACCAGGGCACATACTATGTCATCAATTCCAAAAAAAGACCTTCATTTGTAAATTAAACATTTATGATGGGGTGCAGCATAAAATGCTTTAGTAAAATCCAGGTACACTGCATCCACAGGCCTTCCTCTATCCAGATTACAGCTCACCTCCTCAAAAAAATGGTTAGCATGTTGGTCTGGCCAATATGCTCTGACCTCACCTTTTTACTTTGAATGTATTTAAAGCGATTCTAAAGGTTCTATTTTTTTTTTTTTTTTTTTTTTGTAAAATAACAAACATGTCTATACCTACCTGCTGTGTGCTGTGGTTTTGCACAGAGCAGTCTGGCTCCTCCTCTTCTCGAGTCCCCTACAGACTCTCCTGGGTCTTCCTTTCTCTCTGGTGCCCCCACAGCAAGCGGCTTGCTATGGGGGCACTTGATGCTCCGTGTGTCCATTCACTGTCCTCATTGGCTGTGATTGACAGCAGCAGGAACCAATGGCTCCCGCTTGCTGTCTCAGCCAATGAGGATGCTGAGAGACTTGGGACAGCCGAGGCTGTCATTCACATCGCTGGATCACGATGAGTCTCAGGTGAGTATTGGGGGGGCTGGGGGAACTGCTGCACACAGAAGGTTTTTTACCATCATGCATAGAATGCAGGAAGGTAAAAAACCTTCAGCCTTTACAACCACTTGAATGTATTTTTAAAAATGTGGGTATTTTTTTAAATTCTCCTTTTTTATGTATCTCTTGTGGTCTATTTTAGCTGCTCTGATTGTGCTGTTAGATATCTTATTGCATTCTTTGTGGTGTTGAAATGCCGATAGTGACTTTTCAGCCTTATATTTTTCAAGTGGAAGTAAACTGCCCTGGTTGACTTTTACCCATAGATCAGTCTATAATAAGTCTTACCTATAGGTACGGTAAATATAGTGCATACTAGCACATTAGGACTTATACTGGCCAGGGCCCAATTATTTTTTGCTGCGGTTTACTACCACTTTAAGGGACTTAAAGCTACCGTATTGACGCACATCCAGCGGGCTGTATGTATACTGTATGTAGCCGAAGCTACCGTATTGCCGCACATCCAGCGGGCTGTTTGTATACTGTGTACTGTTTGTAGCCGAAGCTACCATATTGCCGCACACCCAGCGCTAACCATCTGATTTGGAATTTGATCCATATGACTGTCTTACAAATGTATCACAAGATGTCATTCATGAACTTATGATGTCAGAGGATGAACATGATGAGGATTTTGAAGGATTTTAAGTACCCGTAAGTCATAACCATTTCAATTAAAAAATCCGATGTTTTTAAATGGTGTTGCCTCGGAAGGGGGTAGTCTTATACGGCGATTATAGCCCAAAACCTATGTTTTCACTGGAAAATTAGGGGGTCGTCTTATACACCCAGCTGCCTTATACGCCGGAAAATACGGCATTACATTTTAAAATGTATTTACAGAAACAAAGAAAAATGTGGGGGTGTTTTTTCTAAATTTTAGGTATTCTTTTGTTATATAGCAGAAAATAAAAACCCCAGTGATCTAGTACCACCTCCAGAAAGCTCTGCCTCATAAAAATGATTAAAAAAAAGTAATTTGGGTACAGCGTTGCATGACTGCGCAATTGTCACTCAAAGTGTCACAGCGCTGAAAGCTGCATATTGGCCTGGGCAGGAAGGGGGTGAAAGTGCCCGCTATTGCAGTGGTTAGTATGCATTGTTAGTCGGCAGTGTATTCAAATGAAAAGTCTGACGATTCCCCAGAAAAAAGGCTCCAAAAAATAGGACGCGCTGCACATTTTTCCTGTGCATTGGTTTGCTGATACACTAAATGCATGTTAACATGCGTGTTTCCATAATTCATTGTGTTTGGGCTCTTATAAGGCTCACAATGAAAATGGCGCGTGTGCTGGTCATGTATGGTCTGAATCGGCTCTCTTGGCCATCTATATGTAGATATGACGTAGTAATGTGCGTGTTACCATGCCACATCATAAATGGAGTCTCAACGCGCTAAAGCAATGCATTGCTACTGCACTAGTGGGCCTTGTGAGTGCGCTGCATCAACAAACATGGCGCACGGTTGTTTTCTGGGCCTACAGATCAGGTGTGATATGTATGAAGTACATAGATGGAGAGAACAGTACAGGGGGGTCCTCGGACTTCCCTCAGGATCCTCTCATGATATCTCACACACATCACCATAGCAACATGGCTACAGCAAGCCTGACCGCGCACGGCTTCTCGGATACGAAGCCAAAGCAGACCACGCCCACCGCGCTTCAACGGGCACGAGTTTCCACAAGGCAGGCGTGGCTATGGAAATCATGTGCCTCTAGTAGGGCGGGAGATAAAGGGTCTCCTCCCCGTGGTTGATTGCGGCTTGTTTGCTGCTAGGCATGACGTCGTATCTCCCCGCCCCCTTTATCGGGGGAGCTCCGGCTGGGGTGACATGGAGGAGAGCGGAGGGGGAGTGCGGGTCGGCCGAGGGGAGCCGTAATACCGGTGAGAGCCCCGACCGCTATACACCTCTCCACCGACTGTTGTATCGCTGCACTTACCCCCCCCCCCCATACATGTACCTCCCCCAATACACAACCACTGACCCCCCCATACATAAACCACCCCCGATACACAACCACAGACCCCACCCCCAGTATACATCCACCGGCCCCCCTATACATATACCACGTCCACTGACCCCCTCCCAGTACATATACCACCCCCAATATATATCCACTGATCCCTCCCCCCACCTCCTCTATACATATACCACCCCAGTGTACATTACATCCATGACCCCCCCCTATACATATACCACCCCCAATACACAACCACTGACCCCCCCCCCCCCCCCCATACATATACCACCCCCAGTATACTTCCACCGACCCCCCCCCCCCCCCCCCATACATATACCACCCCCAGTATACTTCCACCGACCCCCCCCCCCCCCCATACATATACCACCCCCAGTATACATCTACTGACACCCCCCCATACATCTACTCACCCCCCTATACATATACCACCCCCGATGCATATACCTCCTCCCCCATACATATACTACCCCCCAGTATACATCCACCGACCCCCCCCCCCCTATACATATACCCACCTCCACTGGCCCCCCCCCCCCAATACATATACCACCCCCAATATATACACTGATCCCTCCCCTCACCTCCTCTATACATATACCACCCCAGTGTACATTACATCCAGACCCCCCCCCCCCCCCCCCCCTATACATATACCACCCTCAATATACATCCACTGATACCACCTCCAACATACGTCCACTGATCCCTCCCCCATACATATACCACCCCCCAGTGTACATCCACTGACCCCCTCCCCTCACCCCATCTATACATATACCATTATGGGCAGCGCAGTGGCTAAATGGTCAGCACTTGCGCCTTGCAGTACTCGGGTCATTGGTTCGAATCCCAGCCACGGCACCACCTGCCTGGAGTTTGCCCATACATATACCACCCCCAACATACGTCCACTGATCCCTCCCCCCATATATATACCACCCCCAGTATACTTCCACTGATCCCTCCTCCCACCCCATCTATACATATACCACCTCCGATACACAACCACTGACCCCTCTGCCCACCCCCTCTTTACATATACCACCCCCAGTATACATCCACTGACCCCTCCCCCCCCACCCTCTCTATACATATACCACCCCCGATACACAACCACTGACCCTCCCCCCCTCTATACATATACCACTCCAACATACGTCCACTGATCCCTCCCCCCGTACATATACCACCCCAACATACGTCCACTGACCCCCCCCGTACATGTACCGCCCAACATACGTCCACTGACCACCTCCATTATATATCCAGTGATCCTTCCCCCCACCCCCCTCTATACATATACCACCCCAGTGTACATTACATCTATGATCACCCCCCCCCCACAGACATATACCATCCCCAACATACGTCCACTGATTTCTCCCCCCATACATATACCACCCCCAGTATATATCCACTGATCCCTCTCCCCCATACATATACCACCCCCAGTATACGTCCACTGATCTCTCCCCCCCCCCCCCCCCATACATATACCACCCCCAGTATACGTCCACTGATCCCTCCCCCCATACATATACCACCCCCCAGTATACATCCACTTATCCCCCCCCACCCCATCTATACACATACCACCCCCGATACGCAACCACTGACCCCTCCGCCCACCTCCTCTTTACATATACCACCCCCTGTATACATCAACTGATCCCTCCCCCTCTATACATATACCACCCCCTTAAGCATCCACTCACCCCTCCCCGCACCCCCTCTATACATATACCACCCCCAATATCCATCCTCTGACCCTTCCCCGCACCCCCTTTATACATATACCACCCCCAATATACATCCACTGACCCCTCCCCCTCTATACATATTCCACCCTCAATTTACATCCCCTGACCCCTCCCTCCATGTTTATAGCAACCCCAATATACATCCACTGACTCCCTCCACTCCTTCTATACATTTTCCACCCCTAACATACATCCACTGACCCCTTCCCCTATCCCCAATATACATCCATTGACCCCCCCACCTTCCCTATACATATACCACACCCCATACGTATAGCACCCCCAATATACATCCACTGACCCCCCCCCCCCCCCGGCATATAGCAACTCCAGTATTCATCCACTGACCCTTCCCCCCTATACTTATACCACCCCCAATATACATCCACGGACCCCTCCCCCCTATACATATAGCACCTCTTAGGGTTGCTACCTCATCCGTTTAAAACTGAACACATTAACCACTTCCATACTGGGCACTTTTACCCCCTTCCTGCCCAGGCCAATTTTCAGCTTTCAGCGCTGTCACACTTTGACAATTGCACGGTCATGCAACACTGTACCCAAACTAAATTTTATAATTTTGTTCACACAACTTTCTTTTGGTGGTATTTAATCACCGCCGGGGTTTTTACTTTTTTGCTAAATTAACAAAAAAAGACCAAAAATTTTGAAAAAAAAAACCATTTTTCTTTGTTTCTGTTTGCAAATTTGCAAATAAATAATTGTTCTTCATAAATTTAGGCAAAGATGTATTCTGCTACATGTCTTTGGTGAAAATAACCCAAATCGGTATTTAAACTGTAGGAAAGTTATGGAGTTTTCAAACTGTTGTGTGTGTATGTATGTATGCATGTATATGTGTGTATATATGTGTGTGTGTGTGTGTGTGTGTGTGTGTGTGTGTGTGTGTGTGTATATATGTATATGTGTGTGTGTGTGTGTGTGTGTATATGTGTGTGTATATAAATGTGTGTGTGTGTGTGTGTGTGTGTGTGTGTGTGTGTGTGTATATATGTATATGCGTGTGTGTGTATATATATTATATCTCCTAGATTGTAAGCTCCCAGGATCAGGCCCTCCTATCCCTCTTGTATTGAACGGTATTGTTGCTGTATTGTCTCCCGTTATATTGTAAAGCGCTGAGCAAACTGTTGCTGTTATATAAATCCTGTATAATAATAATATATGAAAATTGATCAGCCCTGAAGTACTGATGGCCGATCTAATTTCTTGAGGCCGAAAAATGTCAGGATAGTACAGATATCCCCCAAATTAGCAAAGTAGACAGTCCGAGATATTTAATAAGAGGCATGGAGAGTTTTTTGAAGTTGTAATGTTTTTGTCATAAATGTTTTGGAAATTTTCACAATTTTTTATTTTCTTTTATATACTGGCACCAGTGCAGTACAGCGTCATCATGTAACTGGTGTGGCGGCGATCAAGGACACTGGTAACAGTACAAAAAAAAAATTGATATTTTTTTTTAATTTTTAACCCCCCCCCATACATCTCCTAACCCTTTATATATATATATACATCTCCACCTTATACATCTACTGACCCCATATACACCTGCTGACACGCAGTACATCTTCTGACCCCTCCTATACCTCTCCCAATCCCTATACATTTCCTGACACCCCCCCCCCCCTTCTGTACATCTCCACCCTATATATATCCTGACCCCCAGTATGTCTCCTGACCCCCTATACACCTGCTGACCCCCGTATTCACCTTCTGGTTCCCCTGTACATTTGCTGACCCCCAATATATCTATTAAAGTAATAGTAAAACGCACCTAAGAAGAAAAGGAAATTGGCCCCCAGGTGGTTTTAGTCATAATGTGCTAGAATGCACCTACTGGCCCTCCTATACATTTTTTAACCCATCCTATATCTCCCTCAACCTCCTGCACACCTATTGACCCCCTATACATTTTCTGATCCCTCTATACATTTTCTGACCCCCTCCTATTCCTCTCCCAACCCCCTATACGTCTGACTCCCTGTATATCTGTTGATCTCCCCATACACCTGTTGATCTCCCTACACGTCTCTTGAGTCTCTTATACACATACTGACCCCAGTATATCTCCTGACTTCCCAATACATTTCCTGATCTCTCATATAAACCTACAAACCCCCTATACATTTCCTGACCCCTCGTATACCTCTTCCAACCCGCTATACTCCTACTGACCCCTCTTATACACCTGCTGACCCCCAGTACATCTTCTGAACCCTCCTATATCTCTCCCAACCCCTTATACATCTACTGACTCCCAATATATCTATTGACCTCCCTATACATCTCCTGACCCCCCTATTTACCTACCTCTTACCATCTACATTTACTGACTACAAATATATCGAATAACCTCCCTATTAATTTCCTGACCCCCTCATATACTTCTCCCAGCTTCCAATACACCTACTGATTCCCCTCTACATTTACTGACCCCCAATATATCTGTTAACCTCCCTATATATTTGCTGACGTCCCTATACACCTACCAACCCTCCTCCCCATATACCTGCTACCCCCCCATACATTTCCTGACCCCTCTTTTGCCTCTCCCATCTCCCAATAGACCTACTGATTCCTATCTACATTTACTGACCCCCCAATATATTTACTGACCTCCCTATATACCTGCTGACCTCCAGTAAATCTTCTGACCCCCTATTATACGTCTCCCAACCCCTATACACCTACTGACCCCCAATATATCTGTTGACGTCCCTATACATCTCCTGAACTCCTATACACCTACTGACCCCCAATATATCTGTTGACTTCCCTGTACATCTTTTGAACCCCTATACATCTGACTTCAATATACCATATTTTTCGCTCCATAAGACGCACCTGACCATAAGACGCGCCTAGGTTTTAAAGGAGAAAAACAAGATAAAAAATATTCTGAACCAATGGACTGCGGACACAGTACAGGGGATGACCAGAGACTGCGGACACAGTACAGGAGATGACCAGAGACTGCGGACACAGTACAGGGGATGACCAGAGACTGCGGACACAGTACAGGGGATGACCAGAGACTGCGGACACAGTACAGGGGATGACCACAGACTGCGGACACAGTACAGGGGATGACCAGAGACTGCGGACACAGTACAGGGGATGACCAGAGACTGCGGACACAGTACAGGGGATGACCAGAGACTGCGGACACAGTACAGGGGATGACCAGAGACTGCGGACACAGTACAGGGGATGACCAGACTGCGGACAGTACAGGGGATGACCAGGACACAGTACAGGGGATGACCAGAGACTGCGGACACAGTGACCAGAGACTGCGGACACAGTACAGGGGATGACCAGAGACTGCGGACACAGTACAGGGGATGACCAGAGACTGCGGACACAGTACAGGGGATGGCCAGAGACTGCGGACACAGTACAGGGGATGGCCAGAGACTGCGGACACAGTACAGGGGATGGCCAGAGACTGCGGACACAGTACAGGGGATGGCCAGAGACTGCGGACACAGTACAGGAGATGGCCAGAGACTGCGGACACAGTACAGGAGATGGCCAGAGACTGCGGACACAGTACAGGAGATGGCCAGAGACTGCGGACACAGTACAGGAGATGGCCAGAGACTGCGGACACAGTACAGGAGATGGCCAGAGACTGCGGACACAGTACAGGAGATGGCCAGAGACTGCGGACACAGTACAGGGGATGACCAGAGACTGCGGACATAGTACAGATGACCAGAGACTGCAGACAGTAAAGGAGATGACCAGAGACTGCGGACCTTTTGGGGAGGGAGGGGGAGCGGGTACCTGAATTTGACAGGTACCCGCTCCCACTTCCGCGGAGTTGTCCTTCCCTCTTCTTCCCGCGGCGGCTTCTGTGACAGCCGGGTGCCCACTGCGGATGCGCGAGAAGCGCTGCGCTTTATGAATGGCCCGGAGCCTTCTGGGACCTGTCATGTGTCCCAGAAGACACCGGACCATTCACAAGCGCAGCGCTTCTCGCGCATGCGCAGTGGACACCCGGCTGTCACAGAAGCCGCCGCGGGAAGACCTCCCTATACATCTCCTGAACCCTTGTATACCTACTGACCCACAATATAGCTACTGACCTCACTATACACCTAATGATTCCCCTCTACATTTACCGACCCCCATTACATTGCCTTCCCCCCCCCCCCCCCCCCCATATCTCTTCTATATATATTCCTCCTCCTCATGCATGTGCTCTATGTAGGTGTGCGGAGTCCCTATGCAGTCTCTGTCTCTCCTCGCCCACACACTGCTGTCACTCCAATCCTGAACACAGCATGGAGGCCAACCTGCAGAAGAGGAAGGAGAGCCGCAAGGCGCTGCGAATTAAAGTCATCAGTATGGGCAACGCCGAAGTAGGCAAGGTAGGACCGGGGGTGAAACTCTGAATCCCAATCAGTGTATTGGCTTTAAAATCTTTTTTAAATTCATCTTTTTTTTTTTTTTTTTTTTTTATAATCTGCAGCTTTTAGTAAAAAAAAACAAACCCATTGTCATCCTACTGTGAAAGTCAATTGCTGTTATAGGGTGACAACGCTCTGTCCCTGCCTTCCATTTGTTCTGCTGCATTGTTATGCTGTTACATTTGCTTTCAATGAAGACTAAGCTGTCAGACCGCACTGATACTTATTGCGCAGGCGTGTGCCATTGTGGTCATGATCAGGAAGTCGATCCAGAGCAATGGTGTGTGAATGGCTAAGAGCAAGTGTAACGGAACCAACCCAGACTGTGCTTGAGTACTTCCGTTAGAATAGCGCTTCCCTGTCCGAACACCACAGCCGACCAGAGGACGCCAGTCTTTCTGAACATGGAACTCTTTATTTTAAACTCAAATGGACTTTTTATACAATACACACTGAGACTGATCATATGCAAAAGCAGCTATATACAGAAATAGAATTACCACTCTAAACAGTAAGTTAATTAGGTTAGCTAGCTTGGTGATCCAAACAAAAGGTGAATGGAAATTCACACCTAGACAATGGTTGGATGAATTCGGATCTCACTACAGAGCAGACGGTCCGGCTCCTACACTGAGTAGAGGAGAGGCCAGCATAGCCAGCTCTTTCAATTCACATGTCTAGTTCAGAATCAACCAGCAGGAATAGTCTTCATATGGCTGATAAATATTACTGTTCCATCTAAAGTAATTCCAACCGCATACTCAGCGTTTATTAGTCACCCTGTGCCCCTAAGAGACACAGGGTGACTTGCACATAAAAGGGATATGGGGAGCTGAGACAGGGGTCTCCCAACCTCTGCAAAGTAAGCTGGGTTCCATGGTCTCCCCCCCCACCCAAAGTGACTCCCGTCACAGCTAGTACAAGTAGACAGGAAATGGCTGAAGTAGACCGGAGGAGATCAACAGCACTGAGATCCAGAAAATAATTTTAAAATGGGTCAAATTAATTTTTTAAATGACAAAGGTTTGACAGTTGTTTATGATGCATAATGCAAACTCATTGTCGCCCAGTTAGGGTGCAGAATTGTATGTGGCTATGTTGTATTTTGAATGTAGTCAGTAGGTGGAGCTCTTGGCTCCTTTTGAAATGTTTCCCAGGTTCTCCTTGGCTCCTTTGCTGCACACATTTTGTTTTAAGAGCCCCAATATCTTAAGCTGATATTTACACACATGTGAATGAGTCGGAGCAGGTACCCCTCCCCTTTTAGAGCAGTGACTCCTCCCCCACTCCTTCTGCTTGCCATTTTAGGTGGGGGGTCTTAAAATTTTTTCCTGCCTGGCAAACATTGCAGTTTTGCCAACAAATCGGAAATCAGTCGGCCCATAGACCTTAGTTTTACAAAATGCTTCCTGATTCAGCAGGCTTTTCATAGTGTTTTGGCCTGGTTCAGCCTTGCAACATACGTTATATGGTAAAAAAAAACCAGTTTGTGTACACCTATCTGAGCTTGTTGTAATTCTCATTTCAAAAATATGGTCATTAATATGGCAAGGAGTATGGGGTTTTGCTGATTGCAGGACTATATCTGTGATTAACTATGGGGGAGCATCAGACCTATGTGGAGAGATCACTGTTCCCCCACAGACAGCAAAGCTCCTCTGCAGCATGCTTTCAAGGGAACAGGATATTTATTTTGTTTCCAAAGTACATATATATCATGAAAAACAAATACTGCTGATCCCCTGCAGCCTCTTTATAGCCACTCCCTGTCTTCATGAACTCTGGAGATGTCTTCATGGCATTTATCACTGTGTGTTTCTTATTGGTGACAACAGTGGAATCATGCCTGTGCTATGTTTGTTGGTACTGCCTTTTGTAGTCGCCATTAGAAAGCCATGTGACAGGGTGACAGCATGGGAGCACAGTTTAGAGACAAGGACAGAGTGTTGTCACCGTATGACAGGAAGTATCTGAACAAGGAACGTTAATATATCAATACTTAGAAGAGATTTTATTTGTAGTTTTTGCATATACTTTAAAGCTGACCTTATGGCTAAACTCTCTGTTCCCAGTCCCCCCCCCCCACCACCACTAACTCTAATTTAAAAGCCCCAGATTGTTACTTAAATCTGCAGTCACGTGACAGGCTGGGTCCAAGATCTTCCTTCTTCCTGAATGCAATGTGAGATGGTCCTTCACGTGTCCATGTCATTCTCTGATGACGTAAATGCTTCCTATTGGCTGGGTCCATACAGGGTCCTGCAAGTCCCTTGCAGAGTCTTGATTTCAAGCAGTGATGTCATGATTCCCGGATGCAAGAATTGACACTCAGACTAGTTGGTAGGCCTGGATCACCCGACTCCACTACCAGAAGGGGTGTCACGGAGAGTCACATGAAGGCAGATACAGGTAAGTAATATAGTGTGTTTGGGTGGGAGGGACCAGGAGGTTTGGTTGTAGCCCAGAGATGGCATGTAAATAGCAAATTTATGGGTAGGGAACTCTGTAATTGGTCTGTGGGTTTTGACAGTTAGAAGAATCGGGACACCCTCTGTAAACCCCTCCCCCTGACCCAACTTTCTTGACTGCCTTTATTTTTGTAAAACAAAAAAAAAATCAGTACATACCTTTCATGGGATATTCAATCCGGTCACAGTGTGCTTTTTCTCCAGCACTGAACAGTCCAGAATGCAGAATTCTCCAGGGTCCAGGGTGGGGGGGGGGGCAGGAGCTGTGAAACCCTGAGCTCACAGAAAGTAGATTGGTGCCAGATTACTGGAGACACTCCAATAGTACACCCTGAATATGGGGATAACATGTTATGACAGGTAGTGGGGAATCTTGTCCCTCCCATTAGTTGTCAAAAATTAAAAAAAATGCACCCGGGCAGGGCTCCGGCCACATCACTCATTCACAGTGTTTTTGTGAATGATAAACTACTAGTCCTGACATCTGGCTGTCAGCTTATAGTTCTCAATGAACTATCACAGCTCTGTGAGTGCTGTGGTAGTTCATTAAGTATTCTTGTCAGTAAGTTTCGGCTTGCACATACGAGGTATGAGCACACAGATAGACTGACAGGTCTGCAGGAGACCTGCATGGCACCAGCAATCTGCTGATCGCTGGTGCAATGCTTTACAGGATTCTGCCAAAAAATATGCATTTATTATTTTTTATTAAAAGGTGAATTTATCCTTTAAGTACATAGAGTAATCAGGCCATCACCCTTGATCACCCCCCCCCAGCCATAAAAAAAAAAATGAGCATTTGTACCTGCTTTCAAGGGATCTTCAGTTTGGAAATGTGTCCACAGTGGGCAGACCTGGGCATCAAAAAAAGAGCGCTGAATGACAATGGCCGTCATTCCACCGAGAAGAGCATCAATGCTTCTTGACTGGAGCAATGAATCTGCAGGAGACCGTGCATGACAGGAGGTAAGCACTAAAGAAGCAGCTGCTTTTTGTTTTGTTTTTCTAATCTAAAAGGTGGGATAAAAAGTGCAACATAAAAAATAATACAAGAAAAAGTTGAATGCTCTGCTCATAAGTATAGAAAAATTGTCCAGTAGCCAGGGGAAAAATAAACAGAAGCACCTAATACATTTCACCCAGAAGACTGGACTTGAAGGATATGTTCACTTTTTAAAATACATAGAAATGGCCATTTTTTTGCAGGTTAAAAAAAAAAAAGTGCATTTACTGTTTTTTTGGGTTTTTTTGTTTTTGAAGCTTGGAAAGCTTTGCACTAGGTCATTACAGCAGATCACTGGTGCCATGCAGGACTCCTGCAAACCTGTCAGTGTAATCTGTCTGCTCGTATCTCATAGGGGCAGGCAGATACACACTGATTGGAAGAATCAATGAACTACCACAGCACTCAACAGCGCTGTGGTAGTTCATTGAGAACTTCAAGCAGACAGCCTCAAGGGCTGTCGGGACGTGTGTTCCATTCATTCACAGATCTCTGTGAATGAATGACGTGTGGTGTGGGCGGAGCCCCGCATAGCCGCACTATTTTTTTAAAAAGTGAACTACTCCCCGCACTGCTGTACTGGGAGAGAGGACAGCAGGCGATGGATGCAGCAGTGGTTACATTTTATATGTTCAATCCTAAAAATTGGGTGGAACATGTAACATGTTCCCAAAGGTGAACTTATTCTTGACTTGTACAACTAAGCCTGTTCTTGTGGGTGAAACATGTCCACCGGCTTACTTTTCACAAAAAATAAAAAGTACTGAAGGACCTGTCCACACTATGTGCGGTGACTGGCAATTTTCTGCACTTGATCAACATCAGTCACTGCGAGCGCACCTAGAACAGTTGTTTTCTATGTGACTTGTTCACACCACAAAGCTGCTTGCAGCATGTTGCAGAAAAATGAAGACATACTGCATTTTTCAGCAGTGTATGCGTGGTCATATGAGGTCACTGTCCATTTTCACATGGCAGTGGAGCTGTGGTTCAAATGAATGAATGAAATGTTGTATTTTTGCATGTTTTAAAAAAACAAAGTAAACAGCGCCTTCCATTGTAACAATTCTAAGGACCAACCCCACTGCTGACACACACAACAGACACACTAACCCACATTGTAAAATGGTTAATTTTAACATGTGTCTAGTGTGAATGGGCCCCCAAGGAACAGAGGAGGACAGAAGGATTTGGATTTATAGGGAGCCATCATTTTGTCATAAGATATCAAGGATACAGATAACCCAGTGTGATAAATTGGTGGAATTGTTGATATTGATATTCTCGCTTAAAATGATAAATAGTTTTGATTTCAGAGGTATTATGTTGGAAAAGTTGTACTTTGTTTGTTGTGCATCAGATAATCAGCGCTAACTGGCTTAGTGATATTATCCTGGAATGTCGTAGTTTTTACAACCTGGAATGTGGTGGTAGGGGGTCTCGGGTATTCCTCTGTCCCGTTGCCCGATGTACTCCATTACTGAATAGTT